GGGCGCTGGAGGGGAGCGAGGCCTGCCAGGCCGTCCCCCGGGCTTCACTGCCCGCCCACCCGGTCTGAGAGGGCATGCGGAGGTAGCCCACGCCGGCAGCCAGCAAACCAGCCAGCGGTACCTCCCCTGCCCGCCGCTCTTCGCCCCAGCCTCGGTGGTCGCTGCGGAGCTGGCTTCAGGCGGCCCCAAGATGTTCAGCTGGCTGGGCACCGACGACCGCCGGAGGAAGGACCCTGAGGTGTTTCAGACGGTCAGCGAGGGTCTGAAAAAGCTCTACAAAACCAAACTGCTCCCCCTGGAAGAGCACTACAAGTTCCACGAGTTCCACTCGCCGGCTCTGGAGGATGCCGACTTCGACAACAAGCCCATGGTGCTCCTCGTGGGGCAGTACTCCACTGGGAAGACCACCTTCATCAGGTAAAAGCTGGCTGCCTGCCTACCTCTCTCCCTCCCTCCCGGGTGTGCTTGCACCCTTGGTGCCTGAGGGGCAGAAGGTGTCTCTGCTACTTGTGCTACACCTAGATCCCTCTTTTGTTCCCTCCTATATGTCCCCAGTGCTCATCAAGAGCTTCCTAGCTCTTGAAAGACTACCTGCACTCAAACACTAAGAGGGTTTCTTTGCAGGGACAAGGTGGTGTGAGATGTCCCATGAAACACCAACGTGGCAAAAAGTAGCCCAGGGCAGGGCTGGAGAGTGCAGGCAGAGCATTAGCACGGAGATGTGAGTCACTTGGGGCCCTCCTGTCTGTTCAAAGTGCAAAGGCTGTGGGAAGCCTTGGGCAGAGTATTCCTGTAACTGCTCGGGTCAGGGTAGCCCATCTGGCAGCCATTCTTTTCAACTTGATGTAGCTTTTCGGTGGTGGGGCAACCTATGGCCTAGGCAAACCTGAAAGTGGGTGCTGGGCTTTGTAATGGTCAGTTTCTTGCGCTTTTGTCATTCTCTGCACTGTGCCCAGAGGCAATGCTTGGAGCCTGGTTTGAGCAGCATGTGTGCTTGGGGGGGGGGGGGGGGGGAGGGGTGTGTGTGTGTACAAGAGACCTGCCCATTTTCAGGGTTCCAAAAGTAAGCCCTGTTTTAACTGTGACCTGCTCTGCTGAGGTGCTGGGAGCAGCAGGTTTGCTTATATCTGTAAAGGAAAGGCAGCTGCCAGCAGCAGGTTTGATGTGAAACTGCCAAAGAGAGGGTTAAACTTTTTCAGCCGGACTTGGTTGCAGGGTTCAACCACGCTGCTAGTTCAACTTGCAACAGCCTATCTCTTGGGATCATAGCTGAAGCTGTGCTGTCTGCATTTCCTATGTGATTCATAAGCTTAGCATTAAATTCCATCGTTTTTTGGTGTGGCTGTGTTGAAATCTGTGGAATTACCCCAGTGTAAATCTGGAAACAAGCCACAAGCAACCAGCCCTTTGTTCCACCAGTATTTCTTGGTGGAGGAGGGAGCTGTGGAGAGTAGAGAGAGGTGAATCAAATTGACTGTACCTCTTCAGTGACCTTGAAAAACACAGGGGTTTTTTTGGTATGTGCTGTAATATTCCTGCTACTTAATGCCCCAGCCAGGAGTCAAGAACAGAATGTGTTTCTACTACCTCATCATGGACCTGGCAAACAAAGTTTGAGTGAAGAGGCTTTTCTCTTGTGACCAGGTCAGGTAGATGGTGAAGGGGCATTTGGCATATGGTTGGAAAGGGAGTTACTCCTCTGAAAATTAGAGAGACTGGCTTGGGTAGCATAGCTGTCTGGTTCCACCCCAGATCTTTGTTCTGTGACTTGGTGCCAAACCTGTTTCAGAGGCTTTTTTCTGTCCTCTGGGTTACACCTCGGAGCAGAAATTTGGCTGAACATTAAGAGGCTGCTGGATATCCATTCCTAAGGTTGCTAGCCATGTAACTAGAGCATCTCTTCCTAATGCTTCTCTGGATTGCCAGCATTAGCTTTTCCCTGCAGTCTCACCTACCTGCTGTTGTTAGCAGAGGCTTCCTGCCTGCCTTTGGCCCTTTCCGTTCAGTCATGTAAGCATGTTCGAAGCAAAAGGAGAAGACCGAGTCTTCACTTGTGTGGGCTGGCAGCAACCCCTTTGCACTCCCATCAGCAGCCTGACCTAAGCTGCTCTATGACCACTGCAATTCATTCATGCCTGTGTCCTTATCTCCCAGCCTTCTCTGTGCACAGGGCTGGGATTAAGCCTACCCAGAGACTATAGTCAAGTAGAAGTGACCAGGACAAAATGGACCTGAGAAAGCTGCCCAGCAAGGTGGAGTGTTTTTTCTGTGTAAAATAGTGCACAAGGTGAAAGCTAACTCCGGGAGAACCCCAGGGCCTCTTGCAGTAGGAGGAGTGTGAGGGTCTGTTACTCCAGTATGTTCCCAACCAAAGGTAGGCAGAAAGTGCCAGAAAACTGAGTGTTGCTTGGGATGGGCTTCCAGTGTGAGCTTGCAGGTGCTGGTCATCAGAGAGCTGGGATAAGCACCAGATTAGCATCCAGAGTTTACTGTGGGAAGGCAAGTGGGAGCTAAAACTGAGAGCAGGGAGGAGTTAAAGGGGACTGGGGGAGGAAGTGGGAGGGGAAACAACCATTATGTCTTATGCATTACAGTGAAGCAAGAAACAGCCTCTGGACATCTCTTCCATAATCTTGTGAGGATGGGGGATAATTAGTGTTATCCCTACCCATTCCACTCTTACATTGCATTCTGCTTGTACTGCCATGCAATTTAGGGAGATTACTTAATGCCGCTAAACACTTATGTGGAATGAACTCAGTCCCAGTTTACTATTAAAAAAAAAATTAGAGGACCTTAGTCATCTATGTGGAGTGGGTTTATCTCTCAGACACCTTTCTTGGGGAATATGAGATGAAACAAGGAATAAATGCAAGGCTTTAAAGCACCTAAGCTGCAGTGTCTCGCAGTGCGGCTGCTCGCTTGTCAGGAGGCAATGGCAGAAAGAAGGCAGTCAAGGTCAGCAGTGAGAAGCATTCCTAGAGGCTGAGGCTGGGAGGAGGGAGGTGAGTTGTGTGGATCAAAGCCATTGAAGTGAGACCAGAGCACTGGCTTGTTTTTAGTGTAACCAGGCTGTTCTCTCTCCTGCTTTCAGGGACCCAGATAACTGAGCCTTACTTTGTTGTGTGAAAGATGTAGCCTTACTAACTGCAGTTTTTCCATTTCTGCTTCCTGCTGTATCCTCTCTTTTTGCTCATTCCCATTTCTCTCCTCAGCATACATTCAGCTGAGGCTTTTCTGCAGTACCAGTGTCTGAAAGGTGGTGATGGCAAGGGCAATGCAACACCTCTACCTGAGAATATTCAAGAGCCACAGCAAGATGCCACTGGAGCCTGCCTCTGCGACATTATTGCTTTTTATATTTCCTGTAAGAGGGTGGGAATGCACGACAGAACATTACTCTCCTAATTAACTTAGATTCTGTGGTCTTCTCTAAAAATAATCCTGGCTTCTGTCCAGCCATCCTGCTAATAAAATAAACAAGCCTGCCAGAGCCCTGCTAACTGTCAACATGGCTTGCTTTTCTGGTGTAGCCACCCCTTCCTTCTACAACTAATCATTTACATGTCCTGGCCTCTCCAGTCTGTTTGTCACAGGCTACACACAACTCTGGTGTGAGCTGCCTGTGTGGCCCTGAACCTTTCATCTCTGCCTGCACCAGGCAGTTGTCACCATTTCCTCCTGCTCTGCCCTTCTTCCCTTTCCCGTTCTGCATCACCTCTGCTGCCATACACAGCATCCTGCACAGCTCCTGCATGACTCATCAGGAGCGAATGTCCCCTTCCCCCACATCCTGCAGCACTCCTGCCCAAAGAGCCTGGCTGCTGTGGTGCTCCAAACCCACCTGGGAAAGGCTACCCTAAGCAAGGCTGGTGCTAATGCAGCTTTCCTGCCTTTGTCTCTCACCACCACCTTCACCAGGAGCAAGGACAGGCCTGAAATGGGGCAAACTGCTGATGTAGCCATGTAGCAGCTACAGATACTTCTGCAAAAAGCAGATTGGCCATTAAAAAAAAAGTTCACCTCTTGCCTGGCACTCTCTGCAGGCTTCTCCAGCTTGGCTGGAGGTCATTTCCTAGGCCCCTGGAGGTGTTCAGCAGCTCAAACTAAGGCATGCTGCACTGGTAGAGGAAGTTGCTTGCTGTTGGTGTTTTCAACAGCCATTTTTTGCTGCTCTATCCCAGAAATCCCCCAAACTATGACAATTACATGTACTCTGTATCTTTTTTCTGTTAGCAGAGGCAGCTGGCATCACTGCCTAGCAGAAGTGCCTTCCCCCCATCAGACAAGTGTCAATAAATTCTCTTGTATTTGTCCTGTGTATAATGATGTTCTTGTGTTGCAGACACTCTGCTGCGCAATGTACCCAAATTTCTCAGCGAAGCCTTACTTAAAATAGATGCTGTGATACTAGGCAGTGCAAGTCTTCATCTCTCTGATTTCATACCACTTGTTGCACATTAAGTAAAGTAACACTGGCTTGTAGCTACTTTTGTATGAGAGTGCTTTTGTTGGGTGGGGATTTTTTGGTTTGTGGTTTTTTTAAGTCTTATACAAAAATAAGAAGAAATGCTTTGAAATATTAGCTGAGTAGAGCTGTGATAAAATACTTTTGAGCAGCCTGGCTGGAGGAGTGTTGCTTAGACTTTCTCAGAAGCTTTGTCTATAAATGAGAAACAAAATCCCCAGGCTTTTTTTCTTTTCCTCCCAGTTGCTCAAAAGCTATCCCATTACATGTGCATCTCAACCCCATAAAAAACAAACAGGTTATTGTTATGGTAAGGCTGCAACCTGGCATTGGGAGTAAGAGGTGTTTCTCAAAAGCACTTCACTTGTTGCATTTGACAGTTATCACTACCTGTTTCTTTTCTTTCTAGTATTTGCAAGGGGAGGACCCAAAGATTTATTTCTATGGATTCAGTGAATGCCCATCTCTATGTGATTCTTAAATATATTATGTCACACCAAAAACAAAAGGAGCAAAGGACAGAGCAGTAGCAGAGGAAAGCTAATAGCAGTGACTAGCATGGCGGCCATGTCCACCAGGGGCTAACATTTTTTAATTGCCACCAAGGAGGCCTAAGCTTAGATGCCTGCGTCTGGCCAAGTGACTTCTAACCTAGCAAATAGTTGTTTCAGCGTAAAGAGCTTTCCAGGGAATGGAGCCAAGAACATTCATATGATAGTGTACAGAGCCCTTGGTGGGAGAAAAGTGGCTGCTCCACTTTTCTTACACCTCCAAGGTAGAGAGAGGTTACTGCAGCTGCCAGGAAAAGGTATATTGTGATCACCAGCCAGGGAGGTGGCACACAGCAGCATTAGCTGCAGTCTGCTTTTGTTAAGTAATGACCCACTTCTATAGGAACGTTTGAGGAACCTCTGCTTAGGCTTTAGGTAGATAGGACATATCCACCCTAGTATAGGAGGTAAGAAAGCAGTTCCCTTCTTGGAATCCTTCCTAGATTATTTCACCTTTTTGGGAACTGCTGAGGAGCTGCTGTTCCATCTCTGAGTTGCCCCCATTAAGAGAAGTCACTTCTGGTGATGTTCTGATGAGCACAGGACTTAAACATCATCACTTTGGCTGCAGCAAAAACAATTCCAGTAACAGTGTCTGTAATTTCCTTAGGAGCTGACCACCTCCCTTACTGGTATTTTATCATGGATTTCCTTGCATCTTTCATCCATTCTCTTCATTAATGTGTACCAAGCCAGAGAAACAGCTGTGATTTGCAGTATATCCTGGTGATGCCTTTGCTTGTTTTACCTCTACAGCCAGTGGATTTGGCCTTGCCTATTGGGAACTAAAGATTCATTTGCTGACATGGTGTCAATAAATAGCCCTGCTG